AACAAAGCCACACCACGTCCACTCGGATGAAAGCAAATAGGTCATTTTCAATTAAAAATCATGGGGTAGAAAAACTGGCGCGGGACGGCTTAAGGAGCGTTTGCACATTCGCTGCTTCTTATAGCTGTAATCACTGCATTACAAGGGTTGGCAGGCACTGTTCACAAGATGCGATTGGTGGACTCTACAAACTTTGACTGGTATCACTCATGGCTTCACAAGATTAGCAGATCTCTACTTGATGGCTCGACAGGACAATGGGTGGTAGCGAAAGTGCGAAACACCCCTCCCAAGCCGAATTGTGCCGAAGTACTTGAAGGATAAGGGTAAAGGATAAAGTCTTCGCCGTTGATCAATCCCTTTGTGGGATGCGGCACGCATTCTACTTCCATTCAGAATCGTAGTGGCTTATTGAATGCGATGTGGCCTATACAATGACTTGCGGTGGCCAGCCGATGTACAAGTCAGTGTTTTATCCTCCCAGACGAATCTGGTACCAATTTACCGTCCCGGGAGGTAGAAGGCTCGCCACTTGGTAATACCTGCCGAAAAACCTGGCCACGATAATTCAATGTTTGAAGGACCCACTGAGTGATCGGTTCGATGATTGATTGGTTGATCGATCTAACCCATGGGACACCTTAAAAGATTTCAACAAAAGGAAATACACTTGGGTCCCGACTGTCCTTTTGAACAACGCCATGCACTTAGGCCATGCACTTCTCCGAAGGCATTAGACGTCGAGGAAGCATCTGTCTGCTCACTGGCGCCTGAACTCCTTACTGATTCCTACCCGATACCTTTCCAGGCAAAACTAAATCAGCTGTTGAAAGGTCAGCGATTTGTCAAGTCAAGATCACACTGGCATACATTTCAAATGAATCATTACATTTGTGAATCGGCCGTGTAACTGTCTGTTTTTCCAATTCTTTCCTGAACCTGACGTTGCCTGCTTCTGTCAGAGGTGGTTCAATTACCTAACGATTCCCTATATAGAAAACCCTATGTGGGAAATACCTACAATCTGTTTACGACTGGCACAAGCAAAGCAAATAAGACAACAAACCACAAGCTTTTAGCAAGTCAACAAAAGCTTGCAGACGCTGCTTTGTATGAAAATTCAATGGTATTAAGCTTTTACAGAGTTTACTTTGTTACTAAACCCCGGGGAAAGTAGGCAGAATCACATAAACTAAGGTGAGGGCCCTCTGAGTATCCGAGCGGGCGTGCGCCTGATAACTGATAGGGGAAAACGCTGTGCGCCATGCCAACGCTCTTAATGATGTTGCTCTTTCAGAACTATTTTCGGAGAAAATTGCGAAATTTCTAAGCTAATTCCTTCACGGAAACACCCATCAGTGTATTCGTAATTTCCTCATCGAACTTCCGATTTATCGTTCGTTTTTAGTTTATTTTCTCCTGAAATGCACCTAAAACATCATACTGCTCTTATCAGTTGACAGGCACCCAGAGCGAACCCTCGTGTTCTGCCCCTTCGTCATTCCTTTCCTTCTGCCTGTTGCTGAGTAATGCTTTCATCATCTCTTCAACTGTCACGATAGTTCGCTTCAATTTCAGTGAAATCCTTGTTTTTTTTTGTTGTAAATGACCGCATAGTGCTGTTGAATTTTCACTCAATCGCACCTTTTTCGAAGCACGGATGTAGTTTTTCATGTCTTCCCTCGTTATTTCTCTGGCTTGAGAAAGAGGAGGCTAGTGGCAAATGGTACGTTCACCATGCTCATGGTCCCCAAATCTAATCTCGAATCGGCTTCCGCCTAGGCCAGTCAAGCTTTTTACCAGGCGTACGGTCGGACGGTGCGCCGCGACCGTAACTGCCACCCTTACAAGCCCTCCGCTCAGCGTATTTTGCCCCGGACTACTCGTCCACATCAACCAGTCCTCTGATTGGCGTGGTTGTTGATTCACCTTGTTTGCCAAAACCAAAACAGAACTGTGACGCTGGTGCCGGCCACAGAGACAGATTATCAGTCTTTGAGACTCTGTTGGAGGTGGTCGTAGGTATCTTCGAAAGAACCTTCCTCCGATCGTTGATTTTTGTGGTTTGACGACAAACTGTACAGTTTCTTCACAGGACCGTCCTTTCCATATGCGAAGCAAATGGGCCCGCGGCCGCAGCAGAGTGGTATTTGCTTCGCCTGAAAGTGCAATGATTCGAAGTGCGCTGGAGAGTAGTGATACCTGTTTCCGGAAATCTCGAGTAAACCACACAAATCCACCGCAAGAACAAAAACCTGAGAGCAGCCGAGATAGGTAGAGTGGTGCTATATTAGGTGTCTGCGTACCTCGGCAGGGAGGATGATGCATCCACGTTTATGTCACTAACCTCTTGCAGATACCCCTTCGATGCACTTATCCTGAGTAGGAATACGCACGCTACATGCAAGCTGCGACCATCTGCAAATTGTGATTTGTACATTTCTACGAACAGAATGCAGGGCCTAGCACGTACGTTTTCTCAACTCGCACATCTCTCACCTGACACGTGCTGCCGCACCCTGTCGAATGGCAAACTTCGGAAAAATTCTAGTGAGTCGTATCTTTAATCGAAGAGAAGATCTAGAGAACTGACGAGAATTAAAACACATACATATGTGTCTGGCATAGCACTAGATTTACAGGCCCAAACAAATTGATACACCGTGTTCAGGGTGCCGACCATCCCTGGAAACGAATCGAGCGAATCTATTCGATGAGACAAAACGAAGAGCGAATTCCTGAGAGAACCCATGCACCTATATAAATTCGGGAAGTGTGGCACCTAATGGACAACGTGTGGTGTGTGACCTTGCTGGACTATCCTTTTTTTGAGCTGTCCTTTTTCCACTTATGCGGCACCTGATTATTAAAACCTGTGTGAATAATGTGAATTTAATTATTGCCAGCTGATTATGTCGTTAGTTCCACAAGCTCGTAATTCATTTCGCAGTCAAAGTCCATAAAAAGTCTCATTTCTCCGTGAAATGTAATCTATCCGAGCACAGTCCGACCATTCGAGTTCACCCTCAACTGCCTCAGCTACTGCGATGTTTTAATCCTTTTATTGTACTCGTCTCCAAACAGTTACCAGGTGTATTTCTGCTACGTGGAGGTAGGAGCATTTCGAACTTCTGCCTACGTATCGCACACTATTATAAGGTCCTATAAGTCCTTGTGGAAAAGGGAAGTAGTACTGGTTTTGACCGCCTATCGGTCCCCAAATTTTTTTCTTGGGTTGAGTTTTTGGATGGAAGGTGCGCAGAAGCTGTTGTCCAGAGGACGAGGATTCCTGGCGAAGAGACAGAGGAAAAGCTCTGGTGTGGGGGAATCGACCCTCGAATAAAAGTGGTCTTAGCAACCACCAGGAAATGGTTTCAGTCCCCCCATGGGATTTTGAAAAGGGACCTGATACTATCGATGGAGTCTGGAATGCTGATTACAAATAGGGAGCCGAGACTTGCTACCTGAATCTCTGAAACGAGTCATAACCGTTCAAAATTGCCGAACTTGTTGAACACTTGCCCACCGGGAGCCTGTACCGAGAGTTTCAGAGGATTTCGCGCTAAACGGATATGGTATTCGTGTTCATGAGGTCCAACTACTTGGAGGCAAATTTCTAGCAGAACAGGTATCCTGGGTTCTACCTATGTTCCGCCTGAAAAGTCCATCATGGCATCTTTGATCGCTCATGACTCGCACGGTAAATAAAGGAAACAAGGCGCATTCTGCTGACGGGGGGCATTTCCACTTTTGATACTTCCCACGTATCAACCCATCTAGACAGCCTTATCTCGAGTTAACAGGCATGGTTTTACCAGGTATGATGGCTCGACGAGCTTGCTCCAGCTCCACAAGAGTTCACAGGTTCACCAGAGTGAGACTTGTAAACCGGAACCAGTGAAGCAACGAAAGTGCAAAATGCCCCCCATCGCCGAACTGCGCCGGGAAAACTTGGTTCCCAGATTTTTATCGGCTTGAAGTCCTGTCAGTGTGCCCAGGTCTCAGCTCGACGCACCGCTGGAGTTTGAATTTATTTCCTCATTAGTGGCGAAGGGATCACTTATGTGCCAAGGAGAATTGACCATTTCTTTGCAATCCCCACATTCTCTAGCTTTACTTACTTACCTTTTAGATGCTGTAGCCTATGGCAAACATATTTGTAGTATCCCGCAACTTTTCATTGAACTCCTCAACACTGAACTCCTGAACTGAACTCCTGAACTCCTGAACTTGACGTAATGCGTGGTATGTTTACAAGAAATCGTAAACTGCCCCTTGCCTTTGTAACAAACCTGTCGGTTTTTTGTCTCTTTTTAATGTTCATTTGTGGACTGAATCGTGGACGAGATCGGAGCGGAAGTTGTGCGAAATTTCTGCTACCTACCCCAAAATTTGATTTTTAGATGATCGACAAAGAGAAGCACGAGATTCTGCCGACGTTGATCACCAAGTCGTATGTGACAAGACGACTACCCACCCTACTTGCGATGGCTTTTGTGGTTCGTTAAACAAAAATTATGAATTTTGAGTTTTTTTTCCTCTCATTGTCTCCATCCATAAATCATCGTGCATATTGCAGGGAGTCGGGTGGACATTAAACGAGGTGGCATTGGCATGGATTCACGAACGCGTTCCCCGGGATACACCACCATTACCTGATTTGTGGTTTTCATGGTTCCCCGAGGTAAGACCAGAGAATATTTCGGAGTTTTTAGTAGAGTAAAAGATTATGGACTTCATCAGGTCAAAGGTGCAATCAGAATCACTGAATACATCATGATCATTCTCGTAGTAAACGCCATCGTCATCATTGTTACCCATCAGCACAGGTGAGACTAGATATTCAGTGCGGTTTAGTTTCCTGAAGGAACAGATGAGTCTCTCTTGCTTGTTACCACTTTCACCTTACTTTTCTACTGTTTTCGTTTCATCCACTTTTTCAGGTGGGTGGTCTCTCGACGGGTCCTGTTCTGTGCAGCACTATCCTATTGTTTTCGAGCGCTTTGCATAACGATTTTCCAGGTGAGATCAATATCAATTCCTACCTCATTAACTATTCGACCTCGAACTGATACGATCTGACTAACACTTGCTTGCGTCATAGTAGTAGCTGGAAACTAATCTTCTACGTTCTCATAATAACTACGCCCATAATAGCTGTCGTCTATAAATAACAGCGAATAATTTCTGAAGATGAAAGAGCAGGTCCCAGGGTAACCTATTTTCGAATTGTTTTCCTTGTGGTAGCTACGGTTGAGTCAGTAAGATTGGAGTAACACCGAGCACATCCATCGAGATGTTCGAAAGCCTGAAACTTGCCCTGGGAATCCTCACTTCCTCCCGAGACGAATCAACGCGTATACGACCGGAGTGCGAACAACCCTTCTGAACACTGTGGGAACGTGGCTCAAACAACTGGTGTAGGGCCATTGATGGTGGGCGACAGAAAATGGTGACAAATAATAAGAACTGATAAGAGGCATGCGATTCTCCATTAATAACAACTGCTCATTAATAGCTGGAATTAAGGAGAGACGGGTAGAAGCTCGAAAAAGTTAGGCCAAGTATTTGATATGGATATACTGGTTCGTACAGGTAGCTCTTACCCATGTCAATTCCGTCGGGTTTGCCATTTAATATATCAGCTCAACTGTCGAATATCGCTATCAAATAAGAGTTATGTAGAAACGATAGAATCACGGAAATAGAAAGATACAGTAAGCTAGCAATAATGATGACGCCTTAGTCCCCTGAGACCAACAAGTCTATTGTTGGTGATCCACCCACTGAGGCGAGACACCAACTTCTCATCGTTGCTCTACGGTAATGGACGGGGTGGGCCCACTTCTTCAACTTGGACGTTCAATCACTTTCCCAACGCTCGGCTAGAAGGTCCATGTCCACAGAAAAAGAGAGTGAAGGACAAAGTATAAGTTATCGCCGTTGTTCACTACCTTTGTGAGATGCGACACGCACTCCGCATCCATTCAAAATCGTATGGCTCATTGAATGTGATGTGGCCTACTCCAACGGACTTGCGAGGGCCAGCCGAGCACAAGTCAGTGTTCTTATCCTCCCAGACGAATCTGGTACCAATTTACCGTCCCCGGAGGGTAGAAGGCTTGGTTGGCCTAGGCGGGAGTCGACCCGGGATTTGAAACCAGGACCGTGCGAGTGGTAACGTATCGGAAAGTGACTATAATGGCCGTTAAGAAGACAGCTCTCCCCTAAATCTTCGTAGTAACAGGCCAAAGCCCCCCCCTCTTGAGCTGGGTTTTGGCCTGTCACTACGATGATTTAGGGGAGAATCTGGGCTCTCAATAGAGAGTCCCTCCCAATGGCCTCGCAACCATTAAGAAAAACATCAAATTTGATGATTCCGCTAGAACACCCTCCAACACTTCCGTACATCAATTCAACGAGGTGATAGCCTTCTGGGAAAAATACTATGAAGTGAGGCAAATTAGTTCCTCGATTCCTCATTGAAATAGATGTCGCGGAAGCAATCAAGCGCATTCCGGAATTCAACGGATAGCGCACTCGCCCGGAAAGCGTGAGGTGCGGGTTCGACTCCCGCCTGGGGCACGCTTTTGCCAAAGCGACTACAGCATTCTGTGAAAAGATTTCGGCAAACGCGTACTGCGGGGCGTAAAACAGCAGTTATCAAACACAGCTCCAAAAACATACTAAAGCATTATGTCTTCGGTTTCATGCCGAATACACCGATTACGGCGACGCGGTCTCACAAGATGAACGTGTGAGCGCTCGATAGGGCTACGGCATAAAAAGCCGGGGTAAAAGCGGGCCAACTGGTGCAGTAACGGATAGCAGCACTCGGAACGAAAAAGCGTGAGGTGTGCGAAGTTCAACTCCCCGCCTGGGCACCGACGCTTATGCCCACAACTTAGCATTCTTAGTGATATACTTTCGACACGCGTAACATGCGGTGTAAACAGAAGTTATCAGCGCACTCACTTTTTGAATCGCTCGATAAAAAGTAAATTTCCGAGACACTTCTCTGCAGAAGAAGTCTGAGGGATGAAACCAAAGTACCCGGCACACTGCATACAGGGGCACTGCAGGACAGAAATCAAGTACAGCTTTGACAGCAGTATCACATTAGAATCACATAATAAATAGGCATTAGGTGATAAACGGCATAAATTTCCTCAAGAATGTATTTGCATTGGTTTTGTTGAACAGTGTCCACATATGACGTCGCTATGTGCCTGCTATGGAAACGAAGCCATTTATTCTGAATAAAAAAGCATTACTTAGATACCATCAAATCGGTGGGAAAGTAACCAATGCCAAAGTTTCCCCAAGTTATTACCTTTGACATGTGATACTGATAAACGTTGCACTCTTTCCCATAACTTTTACTCCATAATCAACCTTCCTTCGAATGAGAATTCAATTTTCTAGGTGAACTGAGGCAAAATGACTGTTCGGTCTAGGTTGTGGAATTGTTTGCCAAAAAGTTTCTTCACCACATATTTCATCTGCCGTTTCCCAATGCAAAGGCTTCAACCATTTCTCCGAAGGCACATTGTTCAAAATTCAGAACGTACCGAAAAAAGGCTTTATCAACTCGATAATGCTAAGTTCCTAATGGGTGGAATTTGAAAAAAATTTTTGTTGGCGACCGCATACATTCAGATATCTAGTTTCAAGTTTTTTTGGGAATCATTTCTTTTGAAATTTTAGTTTTGAATCTATGACTGGAGACTCCCAGTTGATAAGTTTTTCAAACGTCTAACAAAAAGTATGCTAGGGATGATCATGGGGTATTTCGATTCACTTCCACAGGTGTGCGGTGATTAACATGAGCAGGATCACGCAAACGCTAATTAATGTCGTTTTTCAATATTGAAATCCAAATTTTATGTCCTTGCACGGAAACACATTGCGATAGTTCGATGGGTTCCTTGTGTAGGTGGTCCAACACGCAGTCTAAGGCAGTGGACGTACCGCTCCTTGACAGCAGTTGACAGGGAATGTACGCCACCCATGCAGGTTAATGCACCTATCTGGGGACGAGATACCAGTGATTCTATATCAGCAAGTACAGATGAACATTCATTCTGTGTGAGACCAAGCTTTGCCTATTACACCATTCATTGCCTTTGGTCTCCTACCGGCTCTGCAGTGCCTTTGTTGTGACAAAATCGTCCTCCCATGGGCGTTATTTAGGGCGCCTGTGGTCTGCCAAACATGAATAATATTAAGTAGGGAATGAAACAGATTGATATTCTGTGGACCCAAAGAAATATAAGTATTCCAGGTGCCAGTCCCATCGGTTCACACCTACTGCGCCCCGAAAAGCAATGGA